TATGGAGTCCTCAATCTCTGGATGTTTACAGGTAAAATTACCCTTCACCCAGGGGTTGGACAAAACAACTCTTGAGACTCTACAACTCTGAGATTGTGTGGTTCTGTCAAAAATCACTTTTACTTCTCTGGCACTGAGTTCATCTGAGAATCAAATACAATCTTCTTCGCCACCTACATAATAAGGTTATAAAATGACAAGTTTATATGTTAAGGGATGCATTAGGCTAGATGAATTTGTACTCCCTCACCCATCAAGACAACTCAATTCTATGCATGTTATGTCTGCCTATTAGAATGGAAGTTTGCTGAGGGCAAGAATTGTCTCACTTGAACCTTTGTATATCCAGTCCTAGCATAGTGCCTGGAACTAGTGGGTACTTAATAAATATTTGATTCAATGATTCTAAAGATATATCAAGATGTCAAGGATCTAGAATTGTTTGTGCTGTCCTCTCACCATGGAAGCTCTATCCACAAAAATAGCAAGCACTTATAACTTATAACTTAAGTAATAGAAAGTTGACTGAAGCTCAGAGATATTAAGTGATTCCTTTAGTCACACAGCTGGCAAGTGTCAGGAGTAAGATTTGAACCCTGATCTTCCTGGATTCTCACATTCAATCCACTAAGCCCTTCTTTCTAAAGATATCACCCTACGGCTAATATAGAAATATGTTTTACACGATTTCACTGGCATAATTGATATCATATTGCTTGCCTTCTCAGTAGGTATGGGAGGGCATGGGAGGGAGAGAACTTGGAACTCAAAATTTAAAAAGAAAAAAAAACAGTAAAAATAAATAATAAACTGAAATGTAAAAAAAAAAATACCACCTATGAAATAAATAAACAATATATAATTTGTTGTCTTTGGAAAATTCTGTTAAGTTCATGTACCTGTTAACTAGGATGTATGTTTGAAAAGGAACTTCTAAAGTGTTTAAATATTTTTTTGGCCTGCCAAAGCATGTCAGAGACATGACAAAGCTGTAACAGATCCAGTGTGCTTTTCTAAAGTGTCTGCCTGGCAGAACTAACTTATCATTACATGGCACTTAACAATGGGACTTCACAGGAGACAAAAGGCAGTTCTACTCAGCAGGGTTCCAGCAGCATGGCATAGATGTCACTTCTGATGAAGCATAGAGGATGAGGCAGATAAATGACCTATCACCCAGAATTACTAGAAGTCCTTATAGATAATAAGCCATCTCAGATGAGATGCCTAGAAGATTATAGGAACTCTTGGTGAGACTGATCACAGTGTCGCAGGTTCTACCTCTGCTTTGCTTCTGCCCAAATTTCAACCCAATGAATAAATAAAAATGAATGAAAAAACATTCATTAAGTACTTCCTTGGTGCCAAGTATTGTGCTAAGCATTGGGAATACAAATACAGAAGTAAGATAGTCTTTGTACTTGAAGAGCATTTACATTCTAATAGAAGGGAGAAATACCTATCTATATCTATATCCATAGACAGATATATCCATAGATATCCATAGATAGAGAAGTAATGGCTAGGAAGGAGGACTTTACCTAGGGAGTCATAGGGATGGTGAGTTGATTCCCTAGGGAGATGGTGAGATGAGGTGTGAAACATGGTCTGTTCTAGGACCAACTCTATATAGTGCAATAGATAAATTTGTACTCACTCATCAATCAGCTTAGTCCCAGGATGAGAATTCCAAATCTAAGTGGATTATGCCTCAGGGACTAGGGGCATGATTTCTGGAGTTCCAGATCAAAAGGTGCTGCTCTATGTGGAGAAATAAGAGGTGGTGGCAGGACAGGTGGGAAGGTGGCTCATGTGGAAGGCTGGATGGAATGTGAAGTGTGATTTGGTCTGGGCCCAGCTAGATTTGTGGATTAGGTGAGTCTGCTTCCACTTATTCATTGATCAAAACAGCTCAGCCCTGTGACAGGAGTTCTAATCCTGAAGGGTAACTATTATCTGCATGTGGTTGAAACATTTCAACCTACTGCACATGGGCAAACTATCTTTGGATTTATGATGACAAGCACTAATTGCAAAATCCATTATCATTCTGGGTCCATTTCCTAGGAACTGAAGAATTGGCCTAAAAACCAATAAACCAACCAACCAACAAACAGAAACCTTATCCTACTCATCATAGCTGCCTGCTAGTTTGATCTAGTTTCTCAAAAGTGTCATATTCTTTGATGCTATAGTTTAGTGAATTCTTAGAAAAAATTTTTTTGATATTTTTCCTGCCTATAGCTTATCCTCAATTCAGTTTCAGTTCTATTTGAGTTTCTTGGGAACATGATCTTCCATTCTCCACATATAAACAATCCAATCCAATTGCTTACTGATTAAGTACTTGATAAGTTGACTAGGGAGCAGACATAATGAATACAGAGAACTAGCCTTGGAATCAAGACAACCAGAGTTGAAATCTTGCTTGTGACACAAATGGCTAACGTGACTACGCCAGGAACAACCTTTCATTGCTCTATGTGACTCTCTAAGACCATAAATTGTAGAGAAGGGGTACAAATCTGCATTGGTAGAAGAAATTACTTCACTGAAAATTCCCTATACCAATGGAATTACAAATCTGAACAAAAACAAAGAAATAAACCCACTAATATGAGTAAATTTCCATAACCTCATTACTGGTGATCCCATTAGCTATTTGCTACTCAATATTTTCCATAGATTAACTTGACCTATCCAAAAGTACAATGGGCTTCTCTAGGAGGCAATGGGTTTCTCATCATTGGAGGTCTTCAAGCAAAGGTTAAGTTTATCACTAAATGGATATTTTATATTTGTGTTTCTTTGGGGTATGGAAAGGATGAGATGGTTGCTGAAGTCTATTCCAACTCTAAAATTCTAAGATTTTTTGATTATGACGAAAATACTAAAGAAGCCATATGTGACATCTGACCTATGCATTTCAGCATAGAATAAACTATATAGACAGTGCTTTTGTTTGATCTGGGGTGTGAAGTTGAGTTGATGATGAATCTTGGTCTTTGACTTCTTAGAGGAGAAGTTGGCCCTCTTGATTGGTTTTCCAGTTTCCCCGTCAAACAGAAGCATTCCTGGCCAGGGTGTTGCCCATGGAATATACTTCAAGCACAGTTATCAGCCGTGCATTGCTAAATAAATTCCTGGGCTACGAGGTTTTTCTGATAGAGCCTGGTGCCTAACCTTTGCCTCCTTCAGGCTTTGATCAGTCAATTCAAAGCAAACTGCCAGTCCCACAAAGTGATACAAGGTCAAGTCATTGTCATGTGATCTGACACTAGTCTTTTCCCACTTAACTGAAAGCTCTTTGAAAGCAGGGGCTATTTTTGCTTTTCTCCATATCCCTACTTCGTGGCACAGTACTATGTATATCATAGGTACTTCATGACTGCTTTTTGACTTGACTCATCAGCACTTTGAAAGTATAATCCTCTATATAGGGCATCTCCCAGAAGACAGTCTCCAGTCTGTTGAATTAAAGTCTTGCAGATGATTAAGATTATATGCTGGCATTAATTTCCACAGTCCATGTGACATCCACCCGTAACAATGACTTTAAAGAACAGACTGACCAATGATAGGTTTATTGCTCAAACCTGCTTTATACATTTTAAATGCTTATAAGATCAATCTAGAGCTAGAAGGTTCCTCCAAGGCTGAGTAGCCCAACCCCTTCCACTTTATAGCTGAGGACACTGAGGCCCAAGGGGTTAAGCGATTTGCCCAAAGTCACACATGTAGTATAACAACCAAGGCAGAATCTGACTGCAAGTTCTCAGGCTCCAGAGTCAGGTTTCATTGCACAACCACTGTTGAACCCAAGAATGACATCATGAAATAATCCTTAACATCACTAGCAGACCTGGGCTTAGGCAGTTACCAGGCAAGTTTGGCTGACCCCAAAAGTTTCCTTGACTATACTTTCACTTACTCAGCAGGTGCCACAGTGAGGGAAAATTATGAACTCCGGGCGAGTCATGGTTCTTTAAGTCAAATTCCATGAGAAAATTAGATCAATGCACAAAAACCTAACAACCCTTCTGACCCTCAGGGCCAGGTGGTTTGTTGCTTAATTGGCTGTCTGAAGATGGGGTTCCTTCTGCCGATGTTTTACCAGGGTTCTGGCCGAAAGTCATGGGAAGGATTTTATATGGCATATGGTTTTGTTAGGAAACTGGGTCAGTCTTGGGTTAGATGGTTAAAGAGTGAATTTAATAGCATGTTTGATTCAGCAAAAGAAAAACAAAAGAGTCATTTGCTCTTATCCTTGCCCAATTATGGTATGGTTTTAGTTTGTCTTGTAAGTGATTAATTTTAAATTAACTATTTCTCATTCTAAATTGTATTTCAAAAACCATAGAATACCTGATTTGAATAAAGGTATCTAGAGAGACAGTTTAGCATAGTAGATAGTGCTGAACTTGTAGTTTGGGATTCCTGAACTTGATCCTGCCTCTAGTACTTAAGAACTATGTGACTCTGGACAAAGCCACTTAAACTCTTTGAACCTCAGTTTCCTCAACTATAAATTAGAAAAATAATAATTATAACACCTACTTTGAAGAGTTTCTGTAAAACTCCAATGAGATGATGCATGCAAAAGCCCTTTGCAAACCTTAAAATACTATAGAAATACCAGTATTAATTATTATTGTTAATATTATTAATTAATAATTTATTATTTATATATTAATTATTAATTAATAATAATATTGTTTCACAATGGAAAAAATACTGAACTTAAAGCCATGGGATCTGAGTTTGAATTCTGGTTCTGTCACTTCCTGTGAGACCTTAGACAAGCCATTTAATTTCAGTAGGCCTCAGTTTCCTCATCAATAAAATGAGGGGGTTGAACTAGATGACCTCTGGGGTCCCTTCCAACTCTAGATTTGTGATTCTAACATAAATATAAACCATATTATTCTCGCTAAATTGAAGGTGAAAAGAAAACAAACCAAAAAAAAAAAAAGGAAAGGAAAAGGACAAGACAAACTCACATAAAAGAATCCCAATGGTCCTGAGATATAAGGCATTTTCATTCCAAGGAGATACTTGACTTGTGAGGTCACAACATGGGTGGCAGCTCCAGTTGTCATTGCACTGATCACGGGCTCTGTTAGCAAGAAAGTGGCACTGCCCAGGTGAAGCACAAACATGGCGACCTAGGGAACCAAACACAGGCAGGCATCATCTGCAAGTCCATTCAAACGCATTGCTCCTGAGCTCCTAAAGTGATCATGTTACTAGGAAGCACCAGGCTATCCACAAGGAATAGGAAGATCCATTCACGAACAGAAAGCTCCCTTTGTCAGAAACCCACATCAGTGCTGATGTGACATGAAACACACTGTACCAATTTGTTTTATGCTTGCTCCTAAACAAAGTTCCCAAGCCTTTTAAACAAAATTAGGTGCAAAAAGAAAGTTCAGTTAAAGTTGTCAAATTTCCTGATTTTGAAATAGAGCCAATCCTAAAAAAAACTTTTTAAAGACACGTCCACATACATAACAATAGCAATAGTACATAAAAATTATATATTATTCTGGGAAACCAAAAGATAAGGAAATTGCCAGCAACCCACTGGTAATGATGAGCCTAATTCATTCCTTCACATCTGGTGGGCTTGAGTCTTCCCAGGCACGAAGGAAAGAAAGGGATCTTTTGAGACCCTCTAAGATTTGGAGACATAAGTCCCAGCTGTTTTGACTCTGTTCCCTCTGACAGCAGCTGAAAGAAGACTTCTTCTTGGAGTTGATATTCTGAGTAGAAACGCGCAAGAGAGAGGGAAAGAGCCTTTGGTAGAGAAGACAAAGATTATGGAAGAATCACTATAGAAACAGTGCTCTCCAAATCTGTCCCTCCCTTAACACTCCCAGCATTACTCCCCAGTCAAATCCACACAAATATATTAACATATGGGTGAAGCAGTAGTGCACAGAGTCCTGAAAAAGCTTCTTCTCCTATATCTCTATTCCCTCCTTTGAAGAGTTCATCCACTGTGGGAAAACACAGGCTGATGCCCTATCTCTGCCAGAAAAAGAGTGTGCCTCACTGTGTCTTAACACATATTTTTGTTTTTCTGTCATTTAAGTCGTGTCTGACTCTTCGTGACCCCATTTGGGGTTTTCTTGGCAAAGATACTAGAGTAGTTTGCCATTTCCTTCTCCAGCTCATTTTACAGATGAGCTGAGGCAAACAAGCTTAAGTGACTTGCCCAGGGTCACACAGCTAGTAAATGTCTGGTCAGATTTGAACTCAGGAAGCTGAGTCTTCCTGACTTCAGGCCGGATACTTTATCCACTGTGCCACTGCCCCATCTTAACACATATAGAACATTCCATTTTCTAAGAATTTTGTCAACATCAGCATATGATTACAATACATTTGAATTACAGTGTATGAATATTTCCCCAAACACTTGTGAATAAGAATTTGTTTCATTTTTTAAAATTTGCGTTTCCAGCACCTAGCACAGTGCCTGATCCACAACAGAAAATAAATACTTACTGATTTACTGATTGATATCACATCCAATAATTATCTTATGTGTTGACTTCATAGCACAAGGAGAAGACAGGTAAGCCATTCAGATAACTAATCCAGAATCTTAGAACTGGAGGCTACATTTTGAGTCATCTTTCTAACCTCTGATCAGAGGTAGAAATACTGTTCTGCATCAACACTCTCTACCTCCTGACAAGCAAGCATTCTCTGAACACTTCTAGGTATTGAAAATTATTACCTTACAAAGCAGTCTGCTTAATTTTTGTAGAGATCTAATTATTAGAAATTAGAAAATAACTTTGTTGGCTCTGACTTTGCTTTCTGGAGTCACATAGAATAAAGCTAATCCCTGTTCCATATAAAAGCTTTTCACATATTTGAAGGCAGCTATTATATGTTCTTTCTTCTCTTTTCCAGACTTATTTCCAGACACTTCTATTGTTCCTTGTATAAATGGTTAAAAGCCCTTCCTAGATTTATATCACCTGTAAATTTGATAGGAACATAATTAATCTTTTCCCAAGTCAATGATGTGTATGTGAGAAAAGGGGGGGGGGAGAAGAGAGGGAGAGAGAGCAGGAAGACGAGAAAGAAAAGGATAAGACCAAGGAAACAGCCCTGCCATATGCCATTTAAGACAACTCTCTACGTTCACATGAATCCATAAATTAATACTATTTGGTAACGGTTGTACAAGCAGTTATGAATTCATGTTACCATAATAACACTGATCTCATGTCTTTCACTTTGTTTGGAAAGATAATATTAGGAACTTTATCAAATGTCTTGCTAAAATTATGATGCACTGCTTTCAGCATTGCTCTGTTCTATCAATGAAAAAAAGAAAAACAATTTTTAAAAAAGAAATGAGATTAAATTAGCACAACTGTTTCTTTAGCATTCTCCAAATGCCAAATAATCTGTTCTACAGTTTTACCAGGAATCAATGTTAAGTCTGATAGTCCACAGTTTTCTGGGATCTACCTTTCCCCTCAGGATAATAACTGCTCAGTTCTATCTTCCAGACCTTCTATTTGCCATGCTTCCTCAAAGATTATTGAAAGTAGAATTGCACAACGTCAAAGTTGGAAGAAATCTCAAAGATTATCCAATAAACTTACAGCTCAACAAAAATGCCCTCTACCACACAGCCAGACTTTGTTTGAAAACCGCCATTGGGAGGAAACCCATTATCTTTGGAGGCAGCCTAAATTCATTTTTGAATAGCTCTAATTATTAGAAAAACTCTTTTCCTAAACCAAGCTTTAACTTACTTGCTTCTTTGAAATTTTTACTGATTCCTTCCATTCCTGTTTTCTGGAACCAAAAAGAGTAAGTTTAATCCCTCTTCCAAGTGTCATCCCTTCAAACATATGAAGACAGCTATTATGCCCCACCCCTAAATTTTTTTCCAGGCTAAACATTCTCAGTTCCCTCAATTAATCTTACTATAGCATAATCTTGAGGCTCTTGCCCATTCCAATCATCCTCTTCTGGGAAGTCTCCAGCTGGTGAACATTCTTCCTAAAATATGGTACCCAGCACTAAACACAACACTCAAAAAGTAGTCTGACCAGGGAAGGCTACATTGGAACTGTCATCTCCCTAGTCTCAAACCAAAGCTCCCTGAGATTATGTGCCTCTTATGGGCTGCTATATCGATCAACCAATCAATCAATAAACACTTATTAAGTACCTATGTGCCAGGTACTGTGCTAAGCATTGGGGACACAAAAAAAGGCAAAAGGCAATCTTTGCCCTAAAGGAGCTTACAATCTAATTCAGTAGAAAGCAATTCAGCAACTACATTTCTTTCATTATTCTATTAGTGTTCTATATGAATGGGTAATTTGAAATTGGGACCAGAAACAATGAGATGAGGAGTAAGTCATTCAGCATCTAAGCCAACAGATTTGAACTCACTTCAACTATTCCATTACTATTTATTAATCTTGACTTTCAGTTCCCATTTCACTATATTTGTTATATATTTACATTGATTATCAATTTCCTTGACACAGAATATAGTAGCAAAATCAGGGTTCAATTTTTTTTAATTTGTTAAAATCACACCAGTTAGAAGAAGCAATAAATGTATCTTTCCCTTGTTCTTTTCTGCCCTGAACATACCTAACAAATTCCTTTTTATTGTGCTTATCATAAGCTCATTCAAGAGTTTTGTCACCCTAATATACCTAATATGTTATAACATCTAATAATGTTTTTTAATAATACAATAATACCTAATAACATGTTGTAAATCACATCACATATTTGTTCTTATATTCTTTATATTTCCCTACTTTCATCATTGAGGATAACAGGATAGATTTAGATCTGGAAGGGACCATAGAGGCCATCTGTCCAAGCCCTTCATTTCAAGAGTGAGGAATGGGATCAGTAGAGGTAAAGTCACTTGGCTGATATCACAAAGGTTGACAGGAGCAGAAGCAGGATTCAAACTCAAGTGCTTTAATTCCAAATCCAGCACTCCCCACTGCATTCAAACACTGGAAGTACCTTTTAGTCCTGTGGCTTTGGTTTGACTGTTCTTCCCAGAGCTTCCGTTTAAAGAAGACCCAGACCAGCCCTGTCTTCATTCCTCTCCAGGCTGCACTTCTGACTTTCTCCCAGAATTTTTCTCCCATGCTTCCACACTGGGTACCTTACTTCCTCCCTGCTTTTCATCTTCTTATTATATATTATCTTCCTCCATTAGAATGAAGGACTGCCCCTTAAGGGCAAAAAATGTCCTACTTTCTGTTTGTATTAGTATCCCCAATGCTTAGCCCATAATAAATGCTTAATAAATGTTTACTAACTGATTTTGTTGATTATATCTGAGCACATTAGAGAGTTTCCTATGCAGCCACAATGGTTTCTTTTAATACTTATCTTTTAAATCTTCATTAGGATCATTTGAGCTTTTCTCATCACATCATCTTTGAGATCTTTCCATAATTCTTGAGACTATAACCATAGCATCATTTCTTTAAATGTCCATTTTCAAAATCTAGAATATCTTTCTATTTAGCTATGTTTCCTTATTCGGTCATCATAATCTCTGGGATAAAATGGTCACTTTCTTCTAAGGTTCCTGTCACTTCCACCTTACCAAATAGCTCTTCTTGGTTTATTGTGACTGAGTCCATTTGTAACTTCCTTTAACTTCTTGAGAAATAAAATTAATAGCAAAGCAACTCAATTTCTTGAGCTCTCAGTGCCTCAACAGAATGACAATATATGTCTGAAGAGTTGAAAGGCTCAATCATTACTAAAACTTGCATTTTTAGGATCTAAATCTGGATCAGAAAGGCATTGACAATCTGTATACAATATCAGAAAAATGCCATTCCTGTTTCTCATTCCTTTTTATCTTCATCTGAATGTCTTATATACAGGTGCTTGCCTTCAAAACATACAACGCTGCTCAATTGCCTCTCCTATGTTTCTTTTCAACCCTAGGTTATGCAAAGAATCTATGATTTCTTCAGCATGGTGAACTGCTGGTTTGGAAGCTTCCTGCACCAAGACACATTGCAATTTATCTATGATTTATTAAATTAGGCTGAGGTACATTGCCTCACATACCTATCCTCAAGCACAGGGCCTTAAGAGGGTAGCTGGATTCAAAGAACTAATAAGTGCTAGAGGCAGA